CAGTGAGCGCCTCATGTGTTTAGGGGGTGCCGCGCAGCTTCCCGACGTTCAAAGAGTAGAGTTCGAGTTCGACGACAACGGCCTTCTTTTTGCATCGCCAAGTTGCGTCGCGGGCGCGCGCGCCGCAATCTCTGCCGTTGTTCCCGCCCTCTGCTATGGGGGGAACAGTTGTGTAGATATGTTAGTACTGTGAGGGGGCACTTGTGGCGTGTCTCAACTCGTCTTGGAAGCTGGGTACTTGAGGTGGCCTAGATGAACGTGCCAGCGTTGACCTGGGTAGCCCGTGAGTGCGACGAGCTGTGGGGCATTATCAGAACGCGTGCTTTGTCGCGACAGTTGTTGCTGCGACCTGATTGCAGAACCGCGGGCTTCCCATCGTATTTTGACTCCCAAGTCAACCGCGAGACTTGCGCCGCAGGGGGGGCCTTCCCCGCGTCACCTTCTGCGGGGTGGTAGCCGTCGTGCAAGGTGTCTTCAACGCGTGTTCCTCAGGGGGCAACCGGTTGGCGCGTTGGTAGATGGGGTTGCGCCCTGGACAACGCCAGTCAAGCGCAAGGCCACTTGCGCGCGGGCGATATACCGGTAGTCGGCAGAGCTACGCGATTCACGCGGCACTTTCAATCAGTGAGCAATCCTCAAACCATTTGGGAACAATCTGTTCTGGCAATCGTGAACGCGCCCAAGCGTGCAACCGAGAACTGGCGCAGGCGGCCCAGTGCGCGCCTGAGATGCAATCGCTTATCGTAGATGCAGTCCAGATTGCAAAAACCCTTTCTGTGCAAGGCAGTAGTCTTTCGCCGACAGACATTGCGCGAACGCCTCCGTGGTCAGCAGTGCGGGATTCGCCCTCGATGGCCCTGCTGTGCCACGAGAAGAGAACGGATGCATTAAGCGATCGCCATCGGGTGGACTTGGGCGCCCAGCTCGCATAGACAACGTTCGCATGAACTCGCCGAGTCACGACCGAATTCCGCGTCAGTGTCGGCGGCGCGACAAGGGGCCTTCTTACTGGGTATGCCAAACCTGCATACAAAATTGATTATGGCAAAAACAAGCGGGGCCACCTGCTGACGCCAGGCATGTGTAGGTTTGCCCAACCGTGGCAACTGCCAGACAACCGCGGACGGGCCCTACAGGCTACGCCAGCACCAGTGGAAGGCGCGCTGGCACTTGCTGCTGCTGCGGCACCAGACGACCTCTTTGGCGAGGCACCTGCGCCGACTGAGCTACCACCAGCACGACAGAGACCATGGGGAGAAGCACGGCCACGTGCACTTCTCCCCTCGCGTAGAAATCCACAAGACCCACCTGTGGGCGCTAGCAACTACGACATGACAAAAGGCGCGCGCAGTGGCTCTGGGGCTGGCAGCTCTTCTGACCCCCCGCGTGTCGCGGGGCGTCGTGGGCGAGAGGAGAGCGGTGCGGCGCCGCCTTCTCCCCCGCTTCCAGCGGAAGCACGGCCGCGTGCAAGACTATTTCACTGGTCAAAATTTGACATTCAGATCAGTCTCCCAAAGCTACGGAGTTACGTTCCTACCGCCGTGCTAAAATACGTGCGAAAACTCTACTTGCGCTGGCGCCGCACTTCTGAACCGAAGATGCGTGCGATTCTGTCGCGTGTAGGAACAGATGTTGCACGACTGAACATGGTAAAGGGAGTAGTAGACCCATGACGTGAGTGCACAGCCTGCAAGAAACCAGGTAACGATGTCATACCATCGAAAGGTCTCGCTGGGGAATTCAACGAAGAAGTTGTGTGTGATTTGATCTCTACAAACAGCATATCGTCCATCGCATCGTGGACCGATGTATTGGTTGGGCCGCAGGCCAAGAAATTGCGGACAGGACGATGCATGCGTATTGGACGCCGATCACAATTGCTGGGTGCAGTGCGGCCCAGCTACGGTGTCGTATTCCGACGGAGAATGCGCCCTAAACAATGATGCCGCTAAATCCATCCTTAAGGCTACAGGCGCAGAGCTTCGCGCTTCACCTCCGTGCCCGAGGCCGGCGTGCCACTGTTATCTAAGCGCGCATCGGCATCCCTAGACGCACCTTGCATGTTATGGAAGAACTTAGAACGATGCAGCATTGCGCTGGTTTTTCACACGCTTGCTGTACGAAGGCCTCTTTGTTTACAGTCCATTCGCATTTTGCAACGGGGCGTCGCCATGCCGCGCACTGCGTGGTCGACGGCCGACCTGCTTACCAGACCAAGCGGTGTGGACCGCCAACAGGGGGCGGAGACGTCCGATCACAAGTGAGAACAGAGGCTCATATAAATAAACGATAAAGGCATTACTTCCTCCACATGGCTCAGCCGCCTCGGTGTTGCGAGCGCTGCCCGGCTTCTCGTCTCATGGCGGTCGACGTGCTGCCGACAGTGTCTTGAGCATTGCACAGGCGCCAAAGATGCCTCTAGGGCGTCCTCGCTGAATCGCGGGACTGTTACGCGAGGCTTTGGGCTAAAACTTATTTCATAGATGGAGAATGTGAGGCGAGCCCGCGCCTCTTAACAGCCGGGCGCGTTGATGGCGTGTCAGCAGTGGGGGGCGCTACAGAAGGCGCGTTCGGCGCATGTAAACTGGGCGCGCGCAGCCATGCCAATTGCGGCGCGCGATGCTCTGAGGCCGAGGGCGGCCGCGCCCGGCTAGTTCAGGGGGAATGCGTCGATGAGCCTCGTCCCACGCAGCGCCCAGCACTCACGGGCGCTTTGGCCGAAAAGAGGCAGCGAATCCAGTATCCGCCATGTTCGTCAGTTTACGTGGCGCCTTGGCGTATGCATTAACCGCTCAGGTGTGGTGAATGGCGCGCGCGGTATCCATGGCGCGTTCGCAGGGGCTCGCGAGCCTCCGCGTGCGCGGAGACGGTCGGATTAGGCTAATACATTAGCTTATGACTCCGACAGGAGAAGTGGACCTCCACTCTGGCCCCCGATGTCGTCGCCTTAACGGTGGCGGAGATGATGAAGTCAAGGGGCGCGACATCCGATGGGGCCAACTTTTTTGCCGCGCGGACGCGCGCCTGACGGCGGGGCAGTGGTGCATCTGATCGGTGCATGCTGCAAGTCGCATCGCTTGCGCGTGCGTTCCAGCTACTCAGCTGAAGCACTTGCAGCAGCTCGTAATTCTACGCTGCGCGAGCCTAAAACTGGACTCCTAACGCCCGCGCAGCTTAACAACATTTTAGAGTTATGTGGTCTCAGCATAATGGCCTTCCGCACCGTGGACTCTGAGTCGGTCTGTAGATTTTTGTCATGTAAGGACTTGAAGAAGCCGACCGAGTGCGCCCTTGTGGGGCACTTCTGCTGGGTGAGACAAATGATTCACCGAGGTATTGTTCATGGCGTACAGTGGTGTGGCGCACGAGACATGGCCGCATATGGCCATGCAGAAGGGTGTATCGATCGGGCTTTGCTGCTGCAAGGTATAGAAGGCGATCGGCCCTTCGAATCTGAGGTGAAGAAGTACATGCCTTTTCGAGGCAACGCGGAGACAGCGCCAACGTAAGGGTGCCCTAATCAGGGCTAGCGGGTAGGTGTGAGGATGACTATTCAAACGCATGCATGTAGTCGCCATGCCCGGCCGCGGGCAGATACACCTACAGCTCAAATGCCAGCCTGGACACGGACGCTGACATTCTTCATGAGGAGACCTGACCGCTCGGTCAGGTGCCCTCGCGCGTCGTATGCTTTGACGGTTGGAATTTGGCCAGCCGCCTTCTTAATTATCTGCGTATGGTCACGCGGTCCTGCCCGTGACCATCCATAATGGCTTGCGGCCGTGCAAAGGGGGTTTGCCCTTGTGCGGCCCTAATACGCTGTGCTGTTTTTATTTGCCTCTGTGCTGCTGGGGCGTTGAACACATAACCTTCCTGCTTACCTTCTTTACTTGATTTAGGGCTTGGATCCAGCGTTCGGTCCTTCTCCTCCCGACTTCAAACGAGGTTTGAGGTGTGGCTGTATAGCGAACGCTATATCCGCTGTAATCTTTGCTCGAGGTTGCGCAGCCTTATTTGCTTGTCACACGACAGTGAGACACTACTGGGTCTTTGTACCAGACAAAGACCACGTCTATCAATGAGCCCTCTTTCATCTCTCGTCTTGCTTGCCATCGTGGTATGAGTTGTGGGATGCCTCGATACGTCGCCGGCGTTATCCTAAGAATAGGGTTTTCAGCTCATCACCTCATGGTCAAGCCCACAACCCTTACTTTTCATTGTCCTGTGCTGTGTTGTGCCGCGTTGGGTTGTGCCCGCGCTCGCGAGATTGAAAGCGGCTTTTTGGGGCGTGCCATGCCGTGCCGTGGTGTCATGCCCTTGCGCGGGCGGATGCGTTTGCCCCGTCGCTTGTGGATTCGTGTTGCGCTTGCGTGGTGCCGTGCCGCGTGATGCCGTATTGTCGCGGTCGAGGGTCGCGTTTGGATGCCGACAACGAGTTCGCGGAGCCTGTCTTTTCGATTTGCTACATCTGGCCTTGGCTCTACGAGTGGCCAACCCCTGGCTTTGCCAGGTTTGTTTGCGAGTTGAGATAACCGCTCAAGCAGCGCACGGCGACATACACAGGTCTTTCTCGTATCCTCACGTGCCCATCCTTTGGTGGAAATGCCTTTGCCTCCCACCTCTTCACGCACGTGTGTTATCGTTTGCATGTGATCGGTGACGAGTGAGGGGGGGGGCGTGATTTGGTAGCAGACTATGGGAGCTTTGTGTACCGTCGTATCTCTGTCTTCACCGTCGATTGGCGTCGATTCGCGTTTGGGAATCGATGAGGCAGCGCCGATTTAGCGTCGGTTAGCGTCGACTAGCGTCGATTTAGCGTCGATCGGCGTCGAATTAGCGTCGGCTAGCGTCGGTTCGCAAGAGCCGACAGAATGGTATGGAAGGCTCCCATGAGTTGCCACCGAAACATGAAAAAGGGGCGGGCCTTCTCTGAAGGCTCGGAAGTTGCGCGGCCTTCTGACAAGTTTTTTAAACTTTCCCCGAAGTCAGACAACTTTTGA